TATTGAAATATGATTTTCATATTTTATATAATTTCATATAATATATTATTTCATTAATAAATAATTTAATATATTAAATAACTATATGTAAATTCAATGATTAATATTTGCATGCCATTTGATGTGGCGAAACATAATGGACATCTTGTAAACTTAATAAATGCAATATCTTGCAATATAATGCACCGCCTACGTATTTCTCTGTTTGCCCAACGGTTTACTTGTAGACCGTCTGGTTACCACTTTCCATTAGGTGGGCCGTCAGCTTGTTTGCCATTCTAAGTTGTATAAAAAAAAAGGTCGTCAACGACTATAGATGATTATACATTTACCTTTAAGAACAAGTTAATTTTAGCTACGGTTTCGATCCCGCGGTCCCGCGGGAGGGGATTGAATGTTTGATCGCGGAGAGCGTTGTGTTGAATAGAGAACGAGTCGACCGGAAGCCCGGAGCGATAACCGTCGTGAGCGAACATCCGGCGAGGCGGTAGTTATGAATAAATGACTCGCAACCCCGCGGTTACAGCGTTACGGTAACTTTAACGGCCCCTACTGTTTGCCCGCGATCTCTACGGCTGCTCTAACTGTGCATAAGGTGCACGAACGTGCATTTATATGTACATCTGTTTCTCAGCAAGTTACTGTTGCTTGTATCGATTATACAATACTAGTTATTACATGCGGCTTTGTCCGCGATATTAATTAGAAAAAACAGTGTTTTGTCCAATACTGTATACATAACGTACAATGGCCACAACTCAATAGCTCTACCGAGTTATGGCCTGTTTGTATTGCTGCGGTGTATATATGTATAGTTTTATTTATTTATGTATTTATTTATTTATTCATAGGAAAACCAGGGCTACACTACAGCAAATAGATACAGTTTTAGGATAACAAAATAAGCCACTAATAGGTTTCACGAGTAGCAACAATATAGATACAAGGCGCTGTACACAGAGAAACAAAAATAGGAGTTAACAGAAAAAAAAGTGATTTTCTCTATAATGTTGTTGCAGAAACTTTTTCTTTGTAAAATTATATATGTGAGAGTGTGGTTAGAGCTCACAAATAAACGTTATTATATATATATATATATATATATATATATATATATATATATATATATATATTATAATATTAGAAATGTGGACATGGAGGAGAATGGAAAGGATAAGCTGGACAGAAAAACTAACATAGAAGAAGTCCTAAAAAGAGTAATCAAGAAGAGAACATTGATTGAAATAATAAAGAATAGAAGAGGCAAAATGCTGGGCCACCTTATACGACATGACGATTTTTTTAAGAGCATAATAGAAGGAAAGATAGAGGGCAAAAGAGAAAAGAGGAAAACCGAGGATTAACTACATGGGACAGATAAAGGAAACACTAGGTGTCATGTCGTAAAGGGAGATAAAGGATATGGCCTGAGATAGAGCTGGCTGGAGGAAGATGCATGAATTAGTTGCACCAACAAGAGAAAACTCTTAAATGAAAAGAAAAAATATTAGAATAATGACTGAAGTTATATGTGCGTAGCACCAACTACGTTGTAGTACAGAACCGTAGCGCATATCCTACGGCGTAGCATTACATCTACGACGATATAAAACTATGCTGACTTGCATGCTTAAATTAATATTTATTTTTAATTTATATGGCGCTGAAAAATGTACTGTACAAAAGAGAATTTTACTGGTGAAATCAATTATAAATTCTGAAAGGAGTGTCCTACCAGCAAAACTGAACATTTTTCGCAAAAAACGACAAAACATATTTAAAAAACCTGAAATTTTTATATATCAATAAAAATTAAATAACATAACAATAAAAAACAACAAAATATAAAAATCAATTGCCCATATAATAATCACGCTAAAACTCAAAAACGGCTTAATGGATTTGATTGCTTTTTTTTTATTTTGTTCGTCCTAATTCACGAGTCCTTTAAAAGAAAATCAAAAGTCGGAAAACCTCTAAGGTTCAAGTGAAAAATGAAAAGTCCCCCTTGGAAACTATCGTGCTGAATTCCAGGTATTTTCACCGCGATAGCTAGCTAACTGACTAGTATTTTCATTCTCACCTATCATCTGCCACTGGTGCCCCGCCAGCGTATACCGTTAGCGCAGGCGAGATCACCATTCCATTATCATTCATTAAAAAAATAGTTGTATGTATCAGTAGGTATAGTACATTACTGCAGCGGCCAGGAACTGAGGCATTAATGGAAGAATGTGCAAATGTGGGCCGAGGCGTAGCCGAGGCACACATACCTGAGCCCATCAATACTTAGTTGTGGCTAAGGCTTGTATAGTACTTTTCTAAAACAATGCGCGGAAATCAAAAACACAATTTTACTTTTTAAGTTCAATGACGAATAACGAACAATAATAATAATAATTTTTCACGCGCCATAATGTTTCTAAGAAAAAGGTCATTGTATTTTTAAATTTTTTTTAATAATTTACGCAAAACACGACAGATATGGATTTTCTACTTTTTTGCAATTTTGATTTATCTCGAAGAAGATTGTCAAAATAATGCTCACATTTCCAAGCATGTTTGAGAAATAATATTATACTCAATTAACTTAATTTTGAAATGCAAAGGGTCACATGAGAGATAACCATCATCATCATCACCACATCAGCCTTTAACTGTCCACAAGCCTTCCTCTTACAGATACAGTAATATTTTATTTATTTATAAATTTGGATAAGCATTTAATTCGTAAATTAGATTTTGGTCAACATCAAACACTTTTAATTAATACGTATCAGACATTAACTGACCGCTGATAAACATAGGTCGTCCCCTTTTGGGGGGTTTTGCCAATAGTTGTCGCGCTTGGCAGGCGGGTTGGCAGCCCCAAGTAGAGTTTTTATGTTGTTTTAAAAGGGACATTGTTGCCCATTTCTCTCGATCATTAAGCTCCCTTAGTCGCCTCTTACGATACTCACAAGGCGGCCTATTCTACGCCGGGACCACAGGGTAATATATTTTTAACTAACTCTCCGGTGATGAAATACATCGATAACAATTTTTTTATACAACTTGGAATGGCAAACAAGCTGACGGCCCACCTGATGGAAAGTGATAACCGTCGCCTATAAACATGAGCAGTATCATGGATATAACAATGTATACTGTTTCGCTCATGATACGCCCCATGTGTTGCCATTCCTGAGGACTCAGATGTTATTCCTCTGTACCCAGTAAATTCACGCCATATCCCACCCTTCAAACCGAAACACAGCTATGCAAACACAACTGCTTCACGGTTGAAACACGAATAGGACAGAGGTACCCAAGCAATCGACGTTTGTACAAAGTCTCCCTCTGGTATAGTTTGTTGGCGAATAACGACAATGTCTCATTAGTTCATCGCTGCATTATAAATGTGTTCGACGAATGTACACAATGGCAGTATACTTTTAAAAATAAGTAAATATTTAAGGTAATTTAAATCCATATTGCAGTATTAATAGTCCATATGTTGTATGTGTATAGCAAATACGTTAGTAACTAAAGATAACCTCAAACAACTATGTATTTGACTGTAACCTGTACCTAGTGTTTGTACTAATATCTGTACGTACACGTGTGTCTGTGTGTGTGTCCAGTCGGACCCGCGTCAGCGGTTCCAAACCGCCGCTGGCCCCGTTTGTCTTTTGTTATTGCATATTGTTTATGTTTCGTTTCATCTCCCACTGTTTACTGCAGTGCCATTCTGTAAAATGCAAACTCGATATCGAATCTCACTCAGGTGACCGTTCTCACTTCGATAGCGAAATCACTTGACCTTGGATTGGCATTCTGTTTACACTTGAAGTGCAGAGGCGATGTGAAGTGAGTTTCGAAATGAATTATCGAGAACTAGATACGTGCTCGGTGAGACATGTTTAATCTATATAATCGATTTAAAGTATTTCCTTTGTTTTTTTAGAAATTATATACTAATGAGTGTATTATTGGCTTTACTTATGTTTGAGATTATTTAGTCTATTTAATTATACAAATTAAGCGATAGCTATACCAATTTAAAACAATTTATAATTTCTTGTCAGTATAGCCAACATTCCTTTGCGTCCATGTAAAAAATTTGTTTTGTTTGGTAAACTTTGTGTTGTGATTCCAAGAACAAGAACTTTAAGTGGAGAGGACTAAGTGGTTTTACGATCTTGCGATACACATGGGTACCTATTGAACACAAAAAATTAACATGTTGAGTATCAGTAAGTTTAGTGCATTCAACATTTGTGTTTCGAAAGAAGTGGAAGCAAAAATGAAGTGAGTATACACACAATTTAATGTATTTTTATATTTACAGAAAATGTTATATATCTAAGTGAATGAGCCGATGATCTATCTTATTGATGTGAGTAGCAACCATCACACAATGTCCTGTGATGTCCATGTTACTCCTCTTACATTGTTATTTCTAAGGCCATAATTGTTATGCTTTGTTTTACCGTATAACTAACCCGACTGTTGGACTATCAAAGTCATTACAGAATCATTGCGAGACTATTATTTAAATTTTTGAAACTAGTCTATAATGCTAAAAAATATCTTATATAGATTACAAATAGTCTTGTGAAATCATTCTTATATTTTTGTTCTATATTTATATTAAATGAAATGTGCATATATGATAATTTATATATTGTAGCATAAAAATTCCCTATGTTGTAAGTTCGGCAGTAAGAATTTCATAATTACTATTCTTTTACAGCTCCACGCCGTAGGCGGCGATTGATACCTGCGTCTCCACCTTCTCAGAGGCGGTCACAGCTTACTAGCCTCACTGATCGCTTCCTGAGAGTGGAGGAGCAGCGGTTAGAAATAGATAGCAGAAGTGTAGCTGTATCAGAAAATATGGCTAGACTAATGAGGGAATTCTTGCAGCGAGACCAAGATAGGAGTCATGAGGTTAGCCAGGGATTGCTGGCTGTAGGGGAGGGATTAAAATTGTTAGCCGAAGCATTAAAAAAATAAAATGTTGAGAAAAACAAGGTCTTTTATTTTTATTGTTTTGTGACAAAATGTTTGTTATAGTAAATATATGTATTTACTCCCTACGAGAACGCCATAACTGATTAACTAGCATATCTCTGCTTGATTGACCCATTGCCAACTCGCTCTGAGAGTGGGTCAATGGCAACTGACGACCCGCTGAGACGCGTGCAATTGCACGAAAATTTGCTTCTTCCTCCTCATCATGACTATCTAGAGTCGGTGCAGGTAAACCAGCTCTATTGCAAATGTTGTGCAGGACACAACATGCTATCACTATTTTTCCGGCTGTATCAGGATGGTAATGTAGAACGCGGTGCACAAGTAAACATCTAAAACGTCCCTTAAGTCTACCAATAGTTCGTTCAACTGTGTTACGTGCTGTTGCGTGTAGTTTATTGTAATATTCTTCAGGTGTACCCTCAACAGCGTTAGGAATAGGAGTCATCAAATAAGACCGCTGAGCATATCCTGAATCTCCTACAACAAACATTAACACCGGTTAAGTCAAATCTTTAGGTCATATAGGCGGAAGTTAGAATCAACTTTAATTAATTGACCTCACCAAGTAAATATACAGTTTCACCAGCACCTACCAATTCTTCTAAATGGTTTTTTATATCACTATTATTAAAGATAAAACTGTCGTGTGTGGCGCCACCATAAGTAGCATCTACATGTATTATATTGAGATCCGCATCTGTGTACTGAAAGATAAAAATCTAGATATAATTATTATACTTACTAGCGACTGCCGACCACTTCGTTGGCGTATATATCATTATAAATGACATTCTGATATCTAAGCTATCAATACCAGAGGGAGACTTTGTACAAAAGTCGATTGCTTGGGTACCTCTGTCCCATTCGTGTTTCAACCGTGAAGCAGTTGTGTTTGCATGGCTGTGTTTCGGTTTGAAGGGTGGGATATGGCGTGAATTTACTGGGTACAGAGGAATAACACCTGAGTCCTCAGGAATGGCAACGCATGGGGGGTATCATGGGCGAAACAGTATACTCTGTTATGTCCATGGTACTGCTCATGTCTATAGGCGACGGTTACCACTTTCCATCAGGTGGGCCGTCAGCTTGTTTGCCATTCTAAGTTCTATAAAAAAAAAAAAAAAAAAAAAAAAAAAAAAAAAATAATAGTATATAATTAATATCTGTTTTTAAGTCTCTTATTATTTCCCATGTTTCCCAGAATTATATAAATTCACTTAATTTAGAACAAATGTTACGATGTTTCTAAATTAGATTAACTTAGGAATAACTTAATAGAATAGAATAGAATAGAATAGAAATCATTTATTCAAATAAACTTACATTGAAGCACTTTTGAAAAGTCATTACATTTTTTTTAATTTACCGCTCGTTCGGAAAGCTGTCTCATCACAAGAAGAACGAGCAAGAAACTTGCGTGATGCTCTTTTAAATAATTTTATTATTATTTTACATTTTTAAGTTTAATTGTGTGAATACAAACCACCAATTAGCACTAATTCAATTAAATACTCAAAAATAAAAAAAAAATTGAATACATAACCAACTGGTTAAACAATTAATAAGAGGAAATCAGTCATAGTGATTAGAGCAGACCAGTCCCTACAAGCAGCACCCGTTCACGAGTATGACGGATGAGCCAGCCATCACTGCGCTCGACCATATTTTAGGGAGCCCAATGACCCGCCCCACCACGCCGCCACAAGTCTGGACATTTTAGTGAGCATGACTACTCAAAACACTAGACCACGTCAAAGCTACTCACAATTGCCATCTGATAGTTATAGTATTCACATTTTACATAAGAATGCATGCGGCAATTAATACAAAAAACCGCTACGCTTTCATATTTCTAAAATTAATCAATTAAATCAAGAAAGCAATGAGAAAATAAAATTATAACGTTGTATGCTAATAAACTAATTATTTACTTGATATGTTGTCATCTATGAATTCGTCTATCCTGTAATAGGCTTTCTTACATAAAAATTGTTTAATATAAGATTTGAATTGCCTCTCTGTCAGATTTAATGCAGATTCCGGCAGTTTATTATAAAATCTTATGCAATTACCATAGAATGAATTACTGATTTTGTGCAGACGGCATTTAGGTAAAATAAGCTTATTTATATTGCGTAAGTTTCTACTTGTACAGTCTTTGAGTTTTTTAAAACTCGCTAAGTTCTTCCGTGTATACATAATATTTTCATAAATGTATTGTGAAGTAACTGTGAGGATATTTGAGTCTTTAAAGCACTGACGTAATGACTCTCTCGAACCCATACCATAAATAGAACGTATGGCTCTCTTTTGTAAAACAAATATAGTATTTATATCGGCTGCTTTACCCCACAGCAGTATGCCATAAGACATTATGCTATGGAAATAACTAAAATATACAAGTTTAGCCGTCGCCACGTCTGTTAATTGCCTAATTCTTCTAATTGCATATGCAGCAGAACTGAGTCTACTGGCCAATTTTGAAATATGGGGCCCCCATTGTAATTTCGAGTCCACTGTTATACCTAAAAAAACTGTATCATTAACAAAATTTACTATTTCGTCATTAAGCAATAACTGTGTATTTATTAGTCTTACATTAGGAAGTGTAAATTTTATACACTTTGTTTTGCTGGAATTTAATAATAGGTTATTACATGTAAACCAATTTAATATTGCAGACATAGCACAATTTACATCGTCTAATTGATTACTTTGACGTCCAATTTTAAACACTAACGAAGTATCATCCGCAAACAGCACTATATCTGCAATTTTCTCTACCATAAAGGGAAGGTCATTTATGTAGATTAAAAAGAGAAAGGGGCCTAAGATTGACCCTTGTGGAACGCCCATCTTAATATTAGCTCCCTTAGATTTTACACCGTCAATATCTACAGTTTGAACCCTATCCTCTAAATAAGTTCTCATTAATTTTAGATCATTATCTCTTATACCATAATGTTCGAGCTTGTACAAAAGCGTTTTATGATCCACACAATCAAATGCCTTTGATAGGTCACAAAAAACTCCGAGTGCATCTGTGACCTCTCCCAAGATTCGAAAATATGTGTCATTAGCGCAACACCTGCGTCAGTGGTAGACTTGCCGGCGGTGAAACCATATTGCTGACTGTGAAGCAGTCCGTTAACCCTGAAGTGATGTAACATTTGATTTAACATTATCTTTTCAAACACCTTACTTAGAACTGGCAAAATAGATATAGGTCTATAGTTCCCTGGCTCAAATTTATCTCCTGATTTAAATAGTGGGATTAATTTGCTAAATTTCATTAAATGTGGAAAAACGCCATTATCAATACATTTATTAAAAATAGTGGCTAGATATGGAGCAACAATATCTATGAAAGAACTAACTACTTTTACAGACATGCCCCAAAGGTCTTCCGTATTTTTTAAATTTAGCTGTTTGAATATTTTTATGATATGAAAGGGGCTAACATGTGAAAATTTAAATCTTAAAGAACAACAACCGATATTAGTCTCTAGTAATTTTTTTGCTCGAGATTGAGATGAGTCCAGAGAAGATGTAATATCAATCGGAATATTAGCAAAAAAATCTTCAAAAATATTAACTACATCTTTTGTTGTTGTTATTAATTTATTATCATAATTTAATGTAAATTGATTACAGGCTATTTTAGATCTTCCAGTTTCTTTATTTATAATGCTCCAGATGGTTTTAATTTTGTCAGTGTGCTTAATTTGTTTATTAAAATAATTAGACTTAGCCATAATACAAACTTTTTTAAAAATTTTAGAATAATTTTTTACATAAGTGGTGAATTTGTCATCAAATCGATATTTTTTTTGATCGTATAAATCAAACAAAATATTTCTACTTTTAAGTATTCCTACTGTTGCCCATTCCGTGAATTTAGATTTAACATGAACTTCTTTTTTCTTGAAAAATTGTTCATATTCTCCGGATAAAATATTAATTAGCTTGGTGTAAAGATAATCAGGATTATTACTAGATTGTAACAGCAAATCCAATTTATTTTTAATCGCGCTTTTGTATTTATTAATATTGTAAACGTTTATTTGTCTTTTTGATTTTTTATTATTGTTGACTTTATTGATTTGACTGCTAAACTTAACAACTTGACCACAGTGATCTGAAGGAAGTTTATTTATTATGAATTTTTCTGTATACTCGCAGTTACAAAAAACATTGTCAAGACAAGTAGCAGACGTGGCAGTTACACGAGTGGGTTCATGAAAGACATGACATAAATCAAATGACTGAAATAAACTAATAATTTTTGTACATGTGGGTGTGTTACAAAGAATATCAACGTTAAAATCTCCACATACAATAATTTTTTTAATACTATTAAATACTTTTTTAAAATATCCTCCATCACCCCTTCAAAAACATTGTAATCACTATTAGGAGGCCTGTACACACATATAAGGATATAATTTTCTAGTTCTATACAAGATAATTCTATACAACACTCAATAGAAAGTCTAACAATGTCAGCACGTTCCTTTACTTTAATATTATTTCTTGCAATTATCATAGACCCGCCTCTGTTAACTGACTTTCTATTGAAGCAGCTGACAACGTTATAATTATTTAAATTGAACATCATATTGCTTTCTTTAAGCCAATGTTCTGTGAAACAGACAATATCAATATTATACTTTTCTAAAAATAATTGTATAATTAACTCGCTGCCGGGAAAACTTTGTATGTTCTGATGAACAATTATTAATTCTGATTGCTTTCCCTTTGTCTTTGTGAGCAGTTTAAATCTGCAGTCATAGTACTTATGTCACAAATATTAATAGAATTATCTGTTATGTCAGCATTTTTATGTTTAAGTTTACCATGTAAACTGTTCATGTAGTCAATATTATAAGCCACTAAAGTGGCTATTTTATTTTTAGATGATTTAGAAAGATACATTGTATCTTTTGTCAAATAAAAATCACTAATAAAACTATTAGTATCAAAAAATGTCAAAATGTCACTATGACGACATGTCAATGTATGTAATAAGTTATTCAGGTAATGTACCTTACTGTTACCTTAATATATACTTACCTTAATATTTTTCATACCAATTGAACATTCCTAGCATGATTGCCTTTACGACAATAATAGCGCTCTTCATTTTCTGTGGGTCTAACTATTGTCACAAAAGTCCCATCCACACACCCGATTACTCCAGGAATCTTGAACTTTTTATAAAATCTAAAATTATACAAAATATTTTTTATGTAATAAAAAAATATTACCTACCTAACAAAACAGACAAAGAAGTAAAATTATAAAAATTCGTCAAATTAAAATATATTATAAACTTCGATATTATAAAAGACAGTCAATATTATTTATAGTTATAGATTATGAATTAAATATTATTTTATCAAAAGTATTTGTATATTAAAAACCGTTCTTTTAATGCCAGCCTCTCCTCTGCATTCTGTGGGAATTTTATATATTTGCTTATAATAGTTGGATGATTTAATGTCTCCACTACCTCGCAAATGCAGCGAGATGCAGACGGTTGGGACAAAAAAGTATTTATATTTTGCCCTATTATCCTTTGATAACTGCCACTCGCCAAGAACGACAATGTGCACAATAACTGAAAAGAGATATATAATATATATATATATATATATATATATTATTACTTGATTGTACGGAAAATAAGTGGTAGCATAACATAGTACCTAATTAAATGACTATTCAAGTTATTTAAATTAGGCACCTAATAGATAGATAGCTGGATCTTACCTTGATTCTAACGGATAACCCTCGGTGGCGACGTTGTGGTTTCCTAATGAAAAACTTAATATCTTCTTCTAATTGATTTATTAATTCCTCTGAAAGTCTGTACACATTCACATAATCCTTATTTCTATTAAACAATCGCATTGCACGAATTTGTTGAGCTTGACGTCGGCTGTTATATAAATCTAAAGAGTTCGCTTCTTCTAATAAACTCAATAACACAAATAATCTAGCCATTTTAATGTATTAGGCAACCAAAAAACTTATGTTTAAATACAATTTATAATATTTTTATAAAATCTCGATCACTCCGTAGGAACTTTATATTTGACAAATGGAATCGTGTGTCTTGGGTGAAGTGAGTATCGAAGTGAGTGGGAAATTCCCTTACAGAATGTCAATACACTGCACCAAACGTCAAAATATCACTTTTGAATGTTTAATCCCGCCACCGTACTCATCGTTGTGGCGCTGCAGTCGCAATCGAGTTTTACAGAATGCCATGATATAATTTCACTCCGGATTCAGCTATCGAGTTTCGAAGTGATGCTTACCGAATAACACTACTGTTTGTGTAATCGTGTTATACAAGCTTTATGCTCGGGCAGGCCTACTCAAACGAAAGCACGCGCTCCTGACAAGCGCGTGTCGTCTAGTGTTGCCAGAATGAGTTTTTTTCGCAATTATAGGTAAAGATTTTCTATTTGGGAAATTTGACAAATTATTGGATAAAACAAAATGGACGTAGAAAAATTTGTCCAATTTGTACAAAAGTCGATTGCTTGGGTACCTCTGTTTCATTCGTGTTTCAACCGTAAAGCAGTTGTGTTTGCATTGGCTGTGTTTCGGTTTGAAGGGTGGGATATGGCGTGAATTTACTGAGTACAGAGGAATAACACCTGAGTCCTCAAGAATGGCATCGCATAGGGGGTATCATGGGCGAAACAGTATACTCTGTTATGTCCATGGTACTGCTCGTGTCTATAGGCGATGGTTACTACTTTCCATCAGATGAGCCATCAGCTTGTTTGCCATTCTAAGTTGTATAAAAAAAAAGAATTGAGAACCTCCTTGTCTTTAAACTTGGTTAAAAAGTGAAAAAGTGTTTAAGTACTTGTACAAGTACATTCTGTTTTTTTCAAAAAATATGTGCATATTATTTTATTAATTTTTATACCTGTTACCATATATAATTTGTCGAGTTTTATGCCTGTGTTGAATAAATTTTTGTATTCATAATTACACTATATATTAAATTTTTTTTTTAGAAAATACACATCTCCCCTCTTAAGGAGAGGAGATGGCAAACTAACCCCCGGCAGAAGCACAGTCGGCCGGGGTTCACGGCCCCAGGGAGAGAAACCGGCGTACAATGCGGGCAGAATCGAATCTATTATACTTATTATTATATTTCATAATTAGACTTTATATACGTATTATTCGATGTTAACGTACATGCTGCGTACTTTGTCCCTAATGAGAGCCGTGTTAACATCCACAGTGATAATGAACTCTGCCACCTACCACCTACCACCTGCCACCCACGCACCTTACCCCTTCATAAAAGTATCATTAAACTACTGTATATTTATTTAATGTTTTATTCTTTACTTGTAGTACATAGCAATTAGTTATAGCCGTGTGGTCCCGGCGGTAAGCGGCGTAAGAGGCGACTAAGAGAAGTCGAGGGATGGGCTGTAGCATCCCTCTTAAAACATCTCCAAAACCCCACTGTGGTTGTTAATTCTTCTGCCAATCGTAACAACTACTGGCAACCCCCCCCCCCCACACTTATATTCAGCAGTGTTAAAGTCTGCTATGATGATGTAAACATGCACACAATAAAATTAAATGGGGGGAAAGGGATTGTTAGTAATGGAGACTGAGAATCCCATTGCTAGCAATATACCCAATCAGGTCGACCTCCTCGCGGTTCTCTCTAGAAACCATCATGGTTAATTCCTGATGAATTCATCATGATGGGCTAACTGGCCTGTTTTCATTCTCATCTATCACCCTTCACTGGTGCACCGCCAGCGTATCCTGTTAGCGCAGGCGGGATTACCATACCATACAAAATTAAATTATATATATAGGCTTTTCATGTTGATCATTTATAAACCTTACTTGCGGCTGCCAACCCGCCTGCCAATCGTGACAACTATTGGCAAAACCCCTAAAAGGGGACGACCTATGTTTAGCAGTGGTCAGTTAATGACTGATACGTATTAATTAAAAGCGTTTAATGTTGACCAAAAACTAATTTACGAATTAAATGTTTATCCAAATTTATAAATAAATTATAATCATTTGCGAATTAAAAAAAAAAAAGAAAAAAAAGCAACTGTTTATTATTCTGAATATACAAAAAGTAATTACTGTGTGCGAGTTACGCGTGGTGCGAGGTACATTTTTGCCGTCGGTTCTCTCTTTCACAGCGACACACCTATAGTTAGACGGCGGCACGAACATGCCTCTATGTACCATTATACAATGCGGTACGTAAACTCTTAATTAACCTTCAAAGTCATTTAACACACTCGCGCATTCATTTATTCGCGGCTGTTTTGAGAAGCCACGTACACACGAGGCGAGCTGTTACGTGACGCATGTGTATTAAGAATTCAATTTCGTTTCTCTTTGGAAAAACACAAATATGTCAAAATATATATATATATGTGTGTGTGTGTGGAATGCGTAATGAAATGTATACCAGAGACTTTGTACAAAAGTCGTTTGCTTGGGTACCTCTGTCCCATTCATGTTTCAACCGTAAAGCAGTTGTGTTTGCATGGCTGTGTTTCGGTTTGAAGGGTGGCAGTGAATTTGCAGGGTACAGAGGAATCGGTTGTTGTAATCTCGTTGCGACCAGGTGCCGAGGCTTCCGGGGTGTCGTACGACTCCGTGGTTCGAGCAGCTAAGGAGAAGATCTCTCTTTCGGCCTTTGGAATAGCTGAGCTCTGATTTAGAGTGGGAGTATCGGGAGCCCGAATACTGGAGGTCCCTGGTATTCTAAGCGAGAGCGGCGAGAAGGCGAATGCCCTCGCTGCCAAACTGTCGGAGATCCTCCCAGCGGAGAATGTCAAAGCGGCAAGGCCCGTCAAAACGGCGGAGTTCCGCATAGTGGGAATCGAAGACGCGACCACAGTGGCTGACGTCGTCGAAGCTGTTGCGCACGAGGGCGGGTGCGACGAGACCTTCTTCAGGACGGGGGAGATACGTCGCACCCCCACTGGAAGCGGCAGCGCCTGGGTGCGGTGCCCGTTCTCGGTGGTCAAAAAGATCACCCAGGCCGGGAAGATCAAGATCGGGTGGACGATGGCGCGGGTCCGATCCCTCGACCCAAGGCCCATCCGGTGCTACCGGTGTTTGCTCACGGGTCATGTGGGCTTTCGATGCACCGCGGAGGAGGACTGCAGCGGATTCTGTTTCCGCTGCGGTCATCCCGGCCATAAGGCTGGAGCATGCACAGCACCATCGCCGCGCTGCCGCTATTGCGCAGCAGCAGGGCGCAAGGCAGAACACCGAGTAGGCGACACCAAAATGTGTCGCCCGCGGAAGGCTGGTGCATCGGCACAGGCCAACCGCAGGAGGGAGCCGATGGTCACCTAGGAGGGCATTGGCTCACTGTAGGCTCCAGGGCGGCAGATGGTTAGGGACATCCAAAGCCCATCACGGGAGGAATGGATACCGAGAGTGGGCGCGCAGCATATACCCTGGGCGCCTATAGGGAGTCACCCTCCGATGGGTCTCTGGCGGTGTCCCGGTAAACTTCAAAGCGGGAACCCGCGGCACCGTCACTATTATGAGATAGGAGGTATATCGTCAGGTTATTTAGCCGGTAGGAGTCCGGCAGTACCCACACGGTCCCTAAGCTGTGTGGGTCTGCATGATGCATTTTTCCTGACATAAAAAAAAGGGTACAGAGGAATAACACCTGAGTCCTCAGGAATGGCAACGCATGGGGGGTATCGTGGGCGAAACAGTATACTCTGTTATGTCCATGGTACTGCTCATGTCTATAGGCAACGGTTGCCCTTTTCTATCAGGTGGGCCGTCAGCTTGTTTCCCTCTGATAAAGTCTCCCTCTGGTAAATATGGACATTACAGAATACATTATGACACAAAATAAGCATGGTTTAAATTCACCAAGAGAAATTAGTGTGCTATAAAACCTGCTGAAAGATTAGACATTATGGATGGACCCTTCAAGTGTCAAACTGCAGCAGACTCGGCGCCAATGTTTTTATGCGAACTGCACGCCACCCGGTGGCAGGTCATTAAAAGTTGCCGTCGCCCGCAGCGAGTGCAAAGCGCAAGTTAAGAAGATCGAGACGTCCACTCGGGAACTACTTATTTACAAATTTACATACAACACTTTGGATCTGACAGTTCTGGTAAAACTATCGCTAGTTGGAGCGGAACAAACAAGTTTTTATAGTAGATTAAATAAAAAAAGTTGTTCCACTGTGTAAAATTCATATTCTATAACACAATTTGAAAATGGATCATCGTTGCCATTCCTGAGGACTAAGATACCTTCGTAGCCTGTAACTCATCATCATTTCAGCCATTATCCGTGTACTGCTGGACATAGTCCACCTAAATAGACTGCCTTTAAGGAACGGTCCTGAGTCACCTACCTTCACTTACTTCCTGCAATGTATTTAAGGTCGTCACTTCAGAACGACATGCAGTGCATGACGACCTCCGTAACTATATATATATATATATATATATATATATATATATATATATATATATATATATATATATATATATATATATATATATATATATATATATATATATATATATATATATATATATATATATATATATATATATATATATATATATATATGTTTATTTTAATCTAATTAATGTTCATATTATATGAATGTATCAAGTATAGCTTTATTTTTCCTTTATTCAATAAGTATATTAATAAATAAGTACTGTAACGTAAGACACTACAGTTATACTTTTAAAAAATAAATCTCATTTCATTCTATTCTATAACTAACAGATGCAAGACGTTGGTACATTCGCGTCTTCATTATATGCAACTGGTAATAGCAAACAAACAACAAGTCATTATCCGGACTATCCGCACGGTAGGTATCGCCGGCCACAAACGCGGGCGTGGCCCATCAAATTGGTCCCCATAAAGTGTTATTACAACCCCGCTCATCTCGTTACACGCAAATAAAAATCTTTTATTGCGCGACCGCGTTTCATTAACCGTGCCTATCCAATTTATGACAAATAACTTCTCACTGTTCGAACAAGTTGATTTTTTTTTTTTATGCAACTTATAATGGCAAACAAGTTTACGGCCCACCATTGTTTCCATCAGGTGGACCGTCAGCTTGTTTGCCATTCTTATTTGCATAAAAATCACGATTTAGAATTTCCGTTTGCAAAAGTATTTCCTTTTAGGCATAATAAATTATTAATTATGCATTGTTACTTGTGCATTACAGGTTTTTGTATTTTATGCACGAAAAATTATTAATCCACTCTTGCGCCACCTACCCACTTCTATCTGTTCTCCTTCAACCAAAGGTTGTCTGTAAGAGATTGCCCTAGCGATAAGACCGCTTTT